TCTGCCTATTTGCACATGAGGTTTCATTCTTAAGCATCTATGGAAAAAACCTGTGATTCTTCCTAACACCATCTAATGGGCTTCTTTACTATTACAAATATGAGCAAGGACTATCACAAAGGCAGTATCTGAGGAGTAAAATAATTTCAGCTATATGCTCTAGATATCCCTAGTGAGAGCGTGTACATGTATGTTTTATGCATTTTAATTTGTGTGCATTGATTTCACCCATTTAGTTGATTTGCTTTAACTTTTGAGAGACTATGTATAGACAAGCCCTTTCAGATTCAATTATTTCTGGTTCTCATTGTGTTCAGTATCATAACCAAGCTTCTCAGAAAAGGAACCACTTAGTGTCTGTGAGTGATCACTTTCTTTGCATCCTTGCAAAGATTTGCATACCTAAAATCTGCTCATCAAGAACATAGCATCTGATCATCTCTCAGCTATATGTATAAAAAAAACCCTAGTGTCTTAGCCTTCTTTCCCTGCTTATATGAAAAATAAGGAAGATCAATAAACTATATGTTTTGAGGGTACCATAATGGTGGTACACATGTGCAGGATTAACAGAGGAATGTCAACACACAGAATTTCCATTTTGTTCTGAAACCATGATCCTTGTCTCTGGCAAGAATGAATTCTAAAGCTCAGGTTTGAAAGTTCTTGAAAGCTGTGTCCCATGCTCCCTAACCACCTTCAATAGTTTGACAAGTTCAGTGGGTTAGGACAGTTATGGAAGACCTGCACTGCAGAAGAAGAGGGAACTAAACCAAGTCTCATGCAGATCTTAAAACAAACAGGATAAAAATAAAAATTGAAGAGGACTTTATCAAGGACATTAGAAGCAGAAAACTGCTGATATGTTCATAACAACCTGTAATCTTAAACAGACATATTGCTTAAACTTTTACAAAGTCATACACTTTGCAATTAGATACCCACAGATGTATGTATGCGATTGACACCCAGAGCTGGGCGACTAACGTTTTCTCACCCCAGCGGTTAAACTGAAAAAAAAAATCAACTTGGTTTAAACTGAAAATAGTTTTTGGGTCTTCAGCTAAATGAGAAAACCAAACATTTTTTTTCTTGTGTCAACTTGAAATATTTAAACCACATGAAATGAAAAAACATTGTTTTGCTTCAGGTTGCTTTACTACATTATTTAAATTTTGATCATTTTAAACAAAATTTCCCTTGTTTTGAGAAGTCAAAAATATTGGTATTTCCTCAATTACTATTTTAACAAGTGTGCTGAAATGAAGTATTTTCGACATTTTCTAAATTTTCTGCTTTTGTCTCGTTATTTAGTGAATTCAACCTAAATCTGCAGAATATTTCCACTTTCCAAAACACCTTTTTAATTATTATTAGTTTAAAAAAAAAAAAATCATCCCAGATCTACCAGAAATCTGCGTGTAAAAATGCCTGGCTTGCCATTTAACTGTAGTGTGGATTAAGAGGTGGAATAACTTTAGAGAATTCCAGCATAGTTTGTCCTTTCCAAGTCTAAGAAGAGCCAGCTTTTTTAGGATCTATGTTTTAAATATTTATTTACTGGTCATTCAAATTTATAAAAGCCCTGGTCTTTCATGCTAGGGAAAGTTAGATATAAATTCTAATCTATGCATCAAAATGATACAAGAGAACGTGGAGACTCATCACTAAACTGAATACACCAACATCAAGAAAGTTTGTTTAGTCAAATCAAAACTGGACTATATTGCTGATATTTCACAATGATGAATTGTTTAAATATATTTTTTTGCAAAAGAGTGCAGAAGAGACTATTTTTTAAAAGGAACCATTTGGCTTTGCTTCTGGAAAAAACCCAGTCTCTCCTACTAGTTCATTTAGGCAGTTATAACTGTTGTTTGTTAGGGAACATCCAACATGTGTGCACTCACTTATACATACCTAAGGGGTTTTTCTGGCTGTATTTAATTATAACTGCTGAGAATGTTGCAGCTGTTTTACCAAAGCAGTAACACCATTTTCAGGTGCAAGGGCACCACCCTTGGACTCACCCAGCTGGAGCTGTTCGCAAGTGCCATCTGGATTGTTCCTGATCCTGCATCTGAAAATCGCACCTGGATTGACCACAGAGCTATTTGCAGACCAGTCTGCTTTGGGGGCTCCTGCCACTAGCCTGCAAGTAAGAAAAAAACAGTCGTGCCAACTGACAGCGACATGCAGGCGCTCAACTGCTGCTCACCTCACCACGCACAGATTGGGTTTCTATCAGAAGCTACCTGCCCCAAGCTGAAGTTGGCTACCTTTTGTTTTGGAGTGGCAAGCCTGGAAGGAGATCCTGAGGGAAACAAAGGCACCCCGCATGTGACCATTTGCAAGTACAGTTTAAATCAGTGCAACTGGGACAATAGGGATGAAGTTTACACCAGAACAGACCACAGCAACTGTGTAGCTGGTGAGCTTTCCAATGCACGGCCTTCTTCATCCCCAACGTCTTGCACTGCAAAGCTGGTCCAGCTCCATAGCAGCTACACAGCTGGTCCATGACACCACCCTGGGGCATCATTTCTGGCCCATCAGGACTAGGACCCGACTCCTGCGCTCCTGGTCAAGGCAGAGCAGGGTGGTGAAGCCCCGGCGGACACAGGAGCACTCGCGGGCCGAGGCAGGGTGCGCGGGCGCCGCTCCAGGGAGCTGGGGAGCAGAGGAGGGCCCGGACTTACCACGTCTCCCCGCCGT